TTATGTGTGTACATGAGGAAAACAATAATTTTAAAATATGTTGTTAAAATTTTTTAACTTGCAAAGTCAATATTGATATGAGAATCTTGAGTGAAAAAAATGTTTACTGTTATGCAGAAAAATTATAACACACCTCAACCACTAAAGATGTCATATTCGATTGACAACCAAACCTCTGTGTATTTTAATAGGAGGCTATATGGGTCAGGGAGAGAGTTGTGGAAATGTTTAAAGCAGAGATAGATGATCAAATAATATCCCAAACTTTAACCATCTCTAAGGTCATTGTTCAGTTTACCATAATCTTTCAAAGTGGAAAGAAAGCACAGAAAGTATGAGAGGGCTATCGTTACTATGGAGATGTAGAGATCAAAGTTGAGTGAGGGCAATTATTTGACAAGACAATTTAACAGTGCACTTCCTGAATGTGATGTGCATGCTGGAGTGAGAAGTAAAAAATCAAGGAAACTATAGTATCAGTTTGCTATAAGTTTGCCATTTACCAGACACAAAAGAAAAAATATATAAATAAAATATAAAACATAATAATTTTAAAGGAAGAATTTTGGTCAGATGAGACTAAACTAATTAGTTTCACCACAATGCAAAGGGGTACACATGGCTAAAAAGCAACAGGCTAGAGTTAATAGAGAAATAGGTAATGCAGGTGATGCATAAAGAAAATCTATTAGGGGCTGCAGAAAACTTGAGAATGGGTCGGAGATTCGCCTTCTAGCTGGACAGCAGCTTTAAACATACAGTCAGCCCTACAATGAAATGCTTTGGATCCATAAACATATGTTGAAATTACCCAGTCAAAGTCCAGACTTAGTTTTCGGGCAAGAATAAGCATTTTTGTGAAACACTGCTCTCTGTAGATTTGCAAAGATATTTAGACATAGCCAAAAATAAAACGCACATCATACATTTATAATTGATGTTGGAGAAATTTTTGAAAACCATGGAAACTTTTTCCCAGTTTAAAACTACTTTGATCTCTCTATTGGATAAAAATATGAGAAAATTTCAAAGAGCTGAAAGGACACAAACACCTGCAATACCTACATGCTGCAGTGTAATGTTCCTACTACAGCTAATCTAAACCAATCTGATATGAACATGACGTGTTTCTGAATCTGACCAAGAGCTTATAAAAGGCTACCTACTGTGCCAGCTTGGTGCGGCTGTACGACCGTCTCCACGGAGACCTCCAAGACCTGCGTGGAGCAAGGCTGAGGTCAGGTAGCATGGTGGCCAGGGAAACCTCCAGAACATGAGGCCGACCGCATACTGGGTTCTCTGTTGAACAGTAGTACTCACACTGGCCATAGAAACACACATTCCCAGCTGAAAGGAGTCATAGACATAGTGTCAGTATAAGCAGATCAGGACATTTACTGTGACTCAGTGAGGGAGCAGCAAACATGAGAAATCTGTGCTTTAATAGATGCGGATTTGTACCTGGAGAGGTGAAGAAGGTCCTGGAGAGCCTCTCGTCAGTTGTAATGTCTCTGATCTCTGTGGTTACGTTGATAAGCCGACCCACCACCGGGGGGATCCTGTTGAAGCCCAGCACTCTGAGAGAAAAGGGAAATACGAATGAAAATATATACACAGAAGATAAAGTGCTTGTAAAAGAAAAGGGATTTTCCCCCCCCCCACGAAACATCACGAAATGTTTGTGAATCCAGTTATACATAATATCAGCTACACCACCAGGATGCCCGACCATATTATTTCAGTTATGACATGAATAACCTTCCAGATCTTGCAGGGCTGCTGACTTTATGATGCAAGTTCTTTCCTGCAATTCTAGGAATTACAATTCTCACTCATTCAACTGAGGGCTACAGTCTTTAAATAACACCACCCAATTATTGTGTTCTCTTGTTGCCCTTGAACATTCTCTCAGTACTTTTTCCATGTGAAGTTAACCTTTTGCTTCAAACACAGTGACTGACACTGAGCTATCAACACTCCCGATGGTCAGTGGTTCTTATTGATATCTAACTCGTTTCCCTTTTCTTGCTCCAGGCTTTAACATAGGTAAAATATTCCCCTAGTTTTAAGTTAATTACTTTATAGGGCTAAAGGAAACTAGACAGCTCACTTTGTATATTGAACAAATCTGTTTTTTACTTTAATTGGTTTTATTTCTAACCAATATTTTTAAATAAAGAGTTTTCATGCTTTTAGTTCCGCGTCAGTTTGTTTTTAAAGGGGACTTATTTATTCTCACTGTCACCACATGTTCATTCAAATGGAAGATTCTTTAGACAAAATGTGCTGGGATTCCTCAGTGAGGAAAACTAAATTGAATTTTACTGCACTTTATTATACCTAGCATGCATGGACCTTATGGAACATGTGGAACATACCATGCATGGAACATCTTGTCTAGATGAATTTACATCTTTTCAAAAAGGTAGAATTGTTTTAATAATGCAGCATATAAAGTGGATGTAACTCTAAAGTCCCAGACAATGTGTGAAGTGAATTAAAATTATCTAAAAAAAAAACAGCATTTAACTGAATTTACCCACATTTTGCTTGATATACTGTTTAAACTCATTAGTCTTTGTAAAATACTCTATTGTTATTCTTCTATGCAGATGTCATGCTGCTGTTATTAAATTATCCCACTGATTCAGCCAGAGTGACAGCTTGAATCCCTGACATTAGGTGCTGAGACAGTTTTGGTAAAAGCAGCTGCTGAATGAAAGAAAATCCATTTTGTCACTTAAACAGTTGAAGCTCTGAGCCACAGGGAAAATCAAATAGAAAAATGACTTCATTTCAAGTAGGCATCTGCACACATTGTGCTATATAATACTGTATCTATATATAAACATGTCACTATTGTGTTTGTTTTGCTTGTAGTACTTAAAACCACATTAATTAGTAAATCCTACAGTTTCACTAATTTGGGATAATTTAGGACTTGCTTACCTGCAACTGTATACTTGAGGGGACATCATTCCATGCTGCAACCTCATTGTGCAACACATTTTATGATAATACTAATAGCTTTATTGTCCTTATTGCAGGGTCATTTCATGCAGTTGTTTAGCGGTGAGATTTGGAGGTTTTTCCATCACACTGCCATCCTCCCCACTGTGTGCTGACAGAATAAACTAAGAGGGGTCTAGCTGCAGAGCTGCACTGTCAGGACCCAGAGCTGCATTGTCAAAACTTTCAAAGTAAAAGCCAAGTTGATTTGAAGCCTTTCTAAAGTAAAAGCAAACCTCGATAAACTCCCCGTGAAGCTAGCTTCCTTTACAAACAAATGTTGTTATGTCGTAAACTTATTTACAAGCAAAATTTTACTCCCCACCTAACTCCTACTGTATCTGGAGTAATAGATTTGTGCTACATAGAAATAAGTCTCTGTATTTGGATCACTGGATGGAAAAGGGCATTTGGTCTATAAAACAATTTCTAAACAACAATGGAACTTGGCTGTCCTATGAGAATTTTTCCTTACTGTTTAATTTAAACTGCTCCTATGCTCAGTTTAACACTGTCATAAACTCAAATCCGGCAGCAAACACGTGCTGCATGCTATTCCCAAGGCTTCGAATACAACTTCCAGAATAAACCTTCAGACTGACGGTGCAGGAGTGCCCATTTTGCAGGTCTTCAACAAAGGGTCCCGACAGTGTAGGTCTGCAGCCAGACTCTCTTGGATAAACCTGGATGTTTTTCCAGTGTTGTTTGTAAACTTCGTCTTTACATATTAAAATTTGTATGCACTTCTATACTAATGATATGTACTGGATTTATTTCAACAAACTTTCCACTGCTTGGTGGCGATTTGTTTCTTATAGAGCAGTCTTTCTGCTCAGAAGGTCACCCATAGCCTGCTGGGAATGTGCTTCACCATGTATACCTGTCAAGGTGGAAGCCAGCGATCTCTGCATTGTGTCGTTCAAAGTCTGAGAAGTAAAACAGGTTCACATCTGTCTCAGCATCCCTGGATTGCCTGGATAACAAAAAACACACATAAACAGTTGTTTTATTGAATATGACCCACCTCCGGCTTTAGGAGCTCCGGTTTTCAAACAGAACATCCTGTCTTACCTCATGGGTTTGAGCAGAGCTTGGCCATAGTTTGGGAATGACACAAGCAGTTTCAGCTGAGTGCCTCCTTTCTTCTGAACTAACAGATAAACATCAAACAGATGCAAAAGTCCATAATTAATAAGATGTAGTGGATCTTCTCTTTCATCTTTGTTTGGAAGCAACAATAAGGTACAAACTGCACACATTAATATGAAGTAAAGATGAGATCTGCAGTGTTGAGGCAAGAACAGCATATTTACTTCTTAAAGGCGGATTGTATCTTTTTCTTCACATTGTGCCATATTACATAACTGGGCTCCTGCTTAATAGTATTATTTTCTCGCAGGGGAAAAATCTGGTTGAAATAGTTGAGTTAATTTAAGGATTGTGAATATTATGCAGAAACATGAAAATGTAGCTACACTGAAGCCATCTGCTCTCTGCTGGGAAATAAAAATGTATCATCTTACATGCTTGTTTGGCCTCATAGGAGCTTTGCCTTCAAGGCTGTTTTGCTTATTTTTTGTTTGTTTTTTTTTCTTCTTTTTTTTTTAAATGTTTTGATCCTAACAAGCTGGGTTGATTTCTGTCGCACTTCATCCACATTTAGTAAAAACCGAGTAAAAAAACAAAATTCAGAAGTATGACTTTTCTATCCAGTTGAAAATGAAATGTTCAACTTTAAGAATAAAAGAGGTTTTATGAGGTGAAAGTATGATTTAGGCAGAGAGCATTTCTTCATAAACGTAAAATCAATAATACCAATAACACAGAAAATCTCCATACATTATTTATTCTGCATCAAGCTGAAGTGTGAAGAAGTGCTGACACTAGGTGAAAATCTGTCAATATTTTCATAAAGATTATCAAGTATAATATCTTGAAAAAGTGGATTTGATTAAACAATTGCAATCAGGAAACTAAACTCATACATCAGTGTTTTATTTTAAGCTCGTATTTCTTCTACTTTTTTTTATGAATGCTATTTCAAAAAAAACAACAGAGAAATGTTATGGCCAACAAAAACGAGGTTCAGCCTGCTGACATGACGGTGTGCAGCAGGACTTTAGTAGGACTGCTTAGCCACAAAAAGCCTTTGCTGTAGAAGCAGAGTTTTCATCTAAACATTTTTATAGAAAGCTGAGTGGAAGAAAAAGTGTGCTTAAGGGCACAATCAACAGTAATAACCACTGCTGTAAGAAGATTATGAGGCCAAACCCATTTAGAGTTAGAGGCGTATTCACAAGGTGTGGACTGCAGCTGGAATCAAAGCTTCAAGAGCCGCCACACAGAGAAATGACAAAGATATCCTTTTGAAAACAACTGCATAAAAAATACAGCTGTCCCATTGTTTGTTTTGAGCCATCTGATAATTCCCCTGAGATCCAAAATCATCTGTTGATAAATACGATTTTGGAAATCAGAGAGTCTATAGGAGGAGTGGAGTAGCACAGAATCCAAGCAGATTCAGAGTTGGAACCATGACTTCCACTTCTTTTAGTCATCTGTCTTTTATTAAGTCCAAACTCAGCCACCAACTAGGAAATCTTAAGACTTTGTTGAGATGCTGAATATGATTTCCAGAGGTATCAGTACCAGCTTTACCAGTACGAGTACCAGGTGAGGAGTGTTGGCCTAGTGGTTAGAGCTGTGCACTTGTGCTCTGACAAGGTTTGAAGTACCCGTTTCAATCCCCACAGTCGGCACTCTGGTTCCCTGAGCAAAACCCTTAACCCCTCACTGCTCCCCAGGCGCTGCACAGTGGCAGCCCACTGCTCCCCAAGGGGACTGGTCAAATGCAGAGAGTGAAATTCTCCACTGTTAAATTAATAAAGTTAAACTATTATTATTGATGGTGATGCTTTGTTCGAATGGCCGGCAAACTGCGCTGACCTAAACCCTCTATAATCTATCAACAGGATCTATCATCAAGGTGAAGATGATAGAAACCACAGCGTATATTAGAGATGGCCTACAGCAGGAGTCTGCAACCTTTTAAATCCAAAGAGATATTTTGCCCTGACTTTGGCCAATTAAAAATGATTTATTCCAAAGCCTTCTGATAGAACACAACTTATTATTTTTGTTAAATACCTGTTATACTTTAAGCTTTAATAATAAGGAAAAACCAAAAAGTTCATGAAGGTGAAGCAGGGATTTTCTTCTATTTTATGTTAAAAGTCAACAAGAAGGAAAATAGATCACAATTTCTTTTATTATTATTACTTTAATGTCATTCTGTAGTGAACATTCAATCAACTATTTCAGTATTCAAAAACACAACTAAAGCTTTTAAAATCGGTATTAAATCTACATTATTTAGTTCTTTTTATAATTTAAGCCCCTAAGAGGAGCCATTGTAGAGGTTTCAGACAGCCACAGGTTGCGGCCCCCCTGGCCCGTATCCTTGCTTTGAATTTCCTAAGCACACAGCAGATCCACAGACTGAACAGACTCAGTAATGCATGCTTTAGGAAACCTGACCAAGCATTGAATGCAAATACTGGACAGCCCATGGAGATACTTTTCAGGGCATCAACATTTCACCTTTTTCACTCACAAAACTGAAATGTTGTTTTCCTTGCTATACTATTTTTATTTTGGAAACTAGATGCAATTATTCAGTGTACACTGCAAAAATTTTGATCTAAATAAGAACTTTTTTCTTAAAATGAGTGCATTTTTTCTTGAATTGAGGATGTAGGTTCAACACTTTGCCAATGGAACAAGACAATTTACATTTGAAATAAGAAAAAACGATTTAATTGTCTTATTTTAAGTGCATATTATCTAATTATCTTATTTTAAGAGAAAAAATAAAAATTCCATTGGCAAATCATCTTATCAATCTACTCAAATTAAGAGTAAATACACTGGATTTAAGAAAATTTTTCTTATTTTTGGATCATTTTTGCAGTGTAAAATTATATAATATTAGCTTCATTGCAGGTCCTGGGTTCAAATCTAATTCTGAATATCTGCATGAATTCTGGATCATCTCATGGGCGGATTCTCCACACGAATGCCCAGACTGAATATGATGGTAATTAGTTTCATTTTATGTTGTGAATAGTTATCTGTCCTGTTTGTCTGTGTTACGCTGGGCTTGACCTGCTACCAGTCCCTGGCCTCAGCCAGTCTCTGTGCCTCTATGTTGTTCCAGTGGTGTTAAATTACTTTTTATATTGATGTTATGTCTTATAACCAGACACTGAAGAAAGATAAACAGGGACATGATACGTGTTTCTGTCCACTGTTTGCTTTATTCAGAGCTGTCTGCCTGCTCTTCACTGACCTCCAAGAACTCAGTTATTGCCCAACAACCTCCCTGTTGTTTGCTTTTTAACCCTCTTCCCACCCAGGATTCTCCAGGGCTTGTTCTGATATATTTGATTTTCCTTAATCTTATGTGTTTTTCTTGTCTGAACTTCCATATATGTTGACTTTGGTCAAAATCCTGTCCTTCCTGCGGCAGCATTACAGGATAATCTGCTCATATGAACAATAAGAAGGAAATTTAAAATGAACCATTTTGCCTCCTTGCAGACAGTTTGACTGGGTATTTTACTCAGCCTCCCAGCCCTGTCCTTTCCTCTATCTGTCCTCTCACCTGTTATCTACCACCTGCCTCTCTCACTTACTCACCGGCTCCCAGGATACGCTCTGTTGCCAAATAATGAGTCAGCTGGGCCAGGTTGAGGTCTTTCCTGTCATACAGCTCCCTGCGGGAGATGCCTAGGTGGAACCTCAACCATGGAGGGTGGGTCTCCTTATCTGTTGTCCAAGAGGTTTTATCATAGCCTTCCTCCTCACTGGCACTTTGCCTGTAGGATAAGATTAACTCCAATAAATGAGAGGAGGTTTTTATAGCACACTGAAAAACCTGAAGTTACAGATAAAGGGATATGTTTAACATGTTATCGGTGTAATTTTCAAAATGATGTAAATTATGGTTAAAATGACACTGAATTGCAGAATTCAGAGATTAATGGTAACTGTGTAATTCATTAAAATATTCACAAGCTGTTTTTTGCACATGCAAGGAGGGAGGAAAGCCTCATAAATACACACATATCAGCACTGTGTCTCCATTTTCAAAATCAGCACTTTTTTAGTCAGCAACTACAGAAATGATTAGATTAATACGTTTCTGTGGCCACAAGGACATTTATCTTCAGCTGGGTAATGTTTGATTCAGTATGATATAAATAATAAAAGATCCCATTCAGGACTATGTAAACGAAAAAATATATGTTTTATCTATTAAGCAGAATATATTTATTCTGAATTTTTACATTTTTCAAAAAGAGTTATTTTTTTAATTCATAAAAAAATCACATTATTTCACACAAAAGTGTGATTTCTATATCTGTCTCCAGCCTGGATATTGGAACCGCTGAACCTTTAAAAGAAAAATGTTTTTACACCTTCTCTCACTGCAAACACAACTTTTAACATGACCTATGCTACACATAAGCATATATGACAGGGTGGTTATTAAATAATTAGAACTTTAGAACTCTAATTGGTTCTCAAAAATTTCATTTTTAACAAATCCAAACCACACAGCTCAATATTATGTACTAATTATTTAATTTCCTAAAGTGTCTGGTTTCACTGCTTCTTACTAGAAGGTGTTAGACTAAAAGGAGCTAAAAACATCTACGGTATTTCTACATTTTACTCAATTTTGCATCTCATATCTTAAACATCACTGTTAGGACTTTGGTTAATATTCTGTTTTGATTTGCTTCAGAAGTCAGAGCCTGATGTGAGCATTAAATCAAAAGTAGGCTGAGTGCATTTTATTTTGAAGGTTTGCTCAATTTCATAACACAACGTCCTTTTAGCATTCTGAGCATCAAAAATGTACTTCTCTCTTTCTTTATACATTGAAATACTAAAGGAACCTGTTTATAAATAGAAGCTGTACTATGTGTGTCACTGCTTTAATGAGATAAAAAACCCTCAGAGGGGCTTCTAAATAGTTTATACCTGCAGCTGTCACTACCTTATCTGTTGCAGCTTTTCGGAGTTTAGGTTCAGAGCTGCTTATAGATCCATTACTTTTTACATCAGGTTTATAATTTCAGGGACCATTCTTTTAGGTTTCTAAATAGAAACTTCGAAAACTTGACATGCTTCCCTTTCTGAACGCAGGTTGACAAGAGATTACTTCAGTAACCAGTAACAATATTAGTCCAGAATGTTAAAAAAATTCTAAATTCTCATCACTCTTCTTCATTTCATCTCTATTCTCCAATTCTGCAGTATTTGTTAGTTCAATCTCTAACATAATGCTCTCTGCTTTTTCTCATAGTAGCTTCCTCTGCTCTGTTCCCGTTCCACTGTGTCACCATCCCAGAGAGAAATATCAGCTGTGCTGCAATCAACACCTTTTTTTTTTTATAGATGTTGGAGCTTGGAACTAATTTAACAGCCTGTTTTTTCAGTGTAGTCCAGTTTCTCTTCCAACCTCTGATGTGGGAGCTGACTCGGAGCTCGTGTGCCTGATTGTGTTTCCTGGATGGGGCCACCTGTCTGCTATCAGGATTATTTCAAAAGTTATGCACAGAGTTTAATGGAATTTTAACCAGTGGTGCACCTTATGTCAAGGAACAATCCATCAATTTTGGTGATGATCCAGATCATAATTTGGACACAGGAATAAAATAAAAAGAGTTTTTAAAAATTATTTGGTGGAACAAGCAGTTCCCATCCAAACCAGAGGGTGGCAGCAGTTAATACTGACAGGAAGTATTATATTGAAGACAAGCAGTCTAGAAGGAGAGGCATGACTGCTTGTACCTTCAAGAAGGTAAGAGCAGAACAGACACCAGAGGCTGCAGACACATGCTGTACCTTCCTTATGAACTTGTGAAAAGGATTTTTATGGAATTTTTACCAGAGGTGTGCCTCATGCCAAGAAAATATTATTTAGAATTTCATAATGATTCAGATTATGTGCAAGTTTTAGCTATAGGTGTCAGGGTTTACACTCTCACAGCGCTAGTCTCCCTGAAAATATCAACGTTCATGAACTAACCTGTTTTTTCTTTCCAGAGGGCATTTTTCTTAGTCTAAAACTAAATGAATTTAAAGCATTTAATGTTCGCTCATAAAAGTCTAGATTTTAAAGAAGACTGAAATTCATTCTAGGAATCCCTCTAAGCCCTCAGTTTATGGTGTAATAAAGGCCAACATGGATGAACCTGAAGGCGGTCATTTGTGAACAAAAGTGTTTTCTTTTGTATGTCTGCCTGGTTTACATACCAGTCACTATCGCTAGTTATGGAGTCCTCCTTTGACTTTCCTTCCTTTTCAGTCTCCTCTGCCTCTGCATCTGTTTTCAGCCTCAGCAGCCAGTCATCCTCCTGCAGAGCTGGACGTGGCAGGTTGTATAACGGATGTTTAAACAGCTCCTCCAGCTTGGAATGACCCCTTTCCTTTGGGATCACTTTCCCAGCTCCGATTAGTTTCTTTGCCTGCTCAGTATCCTTGCTGAGGGAACCATTCCCATTATGGTCAAATGTGCCAACACTAGGTTGGTGACGTTCACCATGTTGGTGGTTGGTTGGTTGTTTATTTGAGAGAGAAGCAGCAGCAGAAGAGGAGGAGGTGTGTGAGAGTGGCTCTATCCTTGGAACAGTGGAAGACGTGGAGGAGGAGGAAGAGGGAAGTATGCAGGCGGACTGAAGGACAGAGAGGCAAAAGACGGCTAAAAGAAGATGAAGAGTTAGGGATATACACGCCAACCCCAGGTAGACTGAGCGAGTGGATTGTCCCAGGTTCCGACGCACCATGCTGAAATCAAGAAAGAAACAAAACCATGAAATTCTCATGAGTTGGTAAAGTGTATTGTTAATTGAACCTCAAAACCTAACAAAATATAATAATTCTTATTATACCATGATGTTAAAAAGAGTTTCACTGCCTAATAAACACTATTATAAACAACTAATTTCTTCAATCTATTTCTTCTGTTTTTACTTAAATTAAACATCAGATCATTAAAGAACTAAAGAAATTAAGCAAAGAAAAACCTAAGAGAATAAGACATACAATTTTAAATAGGGAGTTAATTAGTTCTATGTATAAATGTAGTTTTTCTTAATTAGTATATCATGAAATTGATGTGATTAATGCCTTTTTCTTGTTAACAGCCACATCCCGGAGTGGCTACTATAGCCAATTTCCTTTACCTATAAGTAAAGGAAAGTGTCTGATAACAGGTAGGCCAAAAAATCATGAAGAAGAAAGAAATTTAGCAAAAGGGAAAGTTTTAAACTGTGGCACAAGACCCTCTGGAGATGATTCGATTACCTTTAATTATTTACAAGTGAATGAGCTAGTGCAAAAAAAGGATTTGATAGATTACAATGATATTTTCAGGCTCCCACATCCTGGTAGCTGATTGGTTCTGGTGGCATTTGCTTTGGGAATTAGAACTTGGTTTGGGGAGTGAATTAATACCAACTTATACAGGTTGTTTTTAAGTGAAATGAACAGTATGATTGGCTGTGATATGAGCTACATAACCGAGCTACTGTAATGTTAGTAAAATATCCATCTCTGCATTCTGTTCTTTTAAAAACTGCAGCATTTTTACAATGGTGGCCATTTCTTGTGGTTGGGTTGTACAAGTGAGCTTTGTGACTGGTGGAAAACCATTTTGCTGCTTAAAAAAATTAATTTGTATATCAAGGCAGTCTCAGTATCCACACACAAATACTGTAAATTTTAAAGGTTACAGGTACTTTGTAATTTCATTTATGATTGTTTATGGAGCAGAAGTAATTTGTTGAATCTTGCTCTGTGCATGCATGGATCTTGTGTGCTTGCGTGAATCATTCTTTGCATGTGGTCCTGTCCAAGTATGAATCACATATGTGTATTTATGAAAACTGAGACTGATCTCAGTCCATAGGAAATCGGATTCTGACTGATTAGATCAATAATATTGGGGCACCATCCTGTTGATTTGTCTCTCTTTAAACTTTTAACTTAATAAACAACAATGCTAAAAATTGTTTTTACTTCAAAGCCAAACCCATGATATGCTGCTGATTTTAAATGTAAGTTTTTACTTGATCAGTTGGCTTAGAAGGTTAAATATGTTTTTAATCAGCTAATGAAAAGCACATAGTCTAAATTACAATTTTAACAGCTGCTCTATTCCTGAATGTGAACTATTGTAAGGTTTTTGCACTGCTGGTTTATTCCTCATTTCTTTTTTTTTTAACCTACAGGAAAAAACTTTGCTCTTAAGTACGGATATTAAATGCAGTAGACAGGTTCAGGGACCATTTTCACGACCATAGTTTCCTCCATATTCATACAAGCAACAAAGAGAAAGTCATTTCCATCCAACCAAAGAGAGAAAAGTTCACTGAGAAAATCAATACATTATTGAACAATTTTCTGCTTCCAGATTCCCTGTGAGAAGCTACAGAAAGGAATAAAAAGGAATGACTTACATTTATTTCCTTTCAAGTCCTTTTTCTTTATTCCTTCTCTCCCCCGCTTTTCTCCTCTTCTTTTGCCGGTTAAACCAAACTATACTTTGATTCATGTGATCCCACCAAGGCTACGTGTTGAATGTTTGTTTGTCATCATGGGGTCACTGCAGTGCTAACAATGGATGTTGCGGCGACCTGTGTCAGGGTGACCAACAGCTTGGTGAAAGTCAAACACAAAAATGCTGCTAAACCACAATGTTATACTGAGCTAAACAGTACAAATAAACAGCAGATTTGGATTCTGCATCCTTATCTCATAATATAAAGCTAGAATAACTTTTAGCCCATGTGTTTGTTTTTATCTGAATGATTTCAGATTATGAATTAATGTTTAGGTGTTTGCAGAGCAAATAGAAGAAATGCCAGGCCTCTATAGTAGATATGAAAGAGCAAACAGCAGGTTATAATTTTTACCAAACCAAGGCTACGTTCACACTGCAGGCCTTGATGCTCAATTCCGATTTTTTTGTGAAATACGACTTTTATGCATTACTGTTCACATTTCCAAATATATGCGACTTGTATGTGATCTGTGTGAACTGTAGTCAAACAACGCAAGTGTCCCGCATGTGCAGTAGAGGATGCAATGACATAACAGGCCAGCATGCCCAACCATAAAAACAAAATCTTTTCAAGATGGTTAAACATAAATACTGCTCTCAGCATCATCGTCCGCCATGGTTGTTGTTTTTCTTGCAGCTTCTTCATAGCAAGACCCAGAATAATGACCTTTGTCGGGTATTATTGCCGTTCAGGTCGGATGAATGCGACCTGGCCGTTCAGACACAGGTCGCATTAGAAAAGATCAGATTCGTATCGGATTCAGGACCAAATAGCCAAGTGGCCTGGGTCGGATTGGAAAAAATCGGATCTGCCATGAAAAGATCAGATACAGGTCGCTGTTGGCCAAAAAATCGGATTTGGGTCACTTCAGGCTGCAGTGTGAACTTAGCCTAAGTGTTGTCTAGTCAATTTTCCCAAACTGGGGTTTGCGTACTTCTAGTGGTCTGTGCAAATATGATAGGAAAACATTGTATTTCTTAGGTAGTAAAATAAAGGAGGGCTGGGATCTGATTGTCTTTGTGAGGACCCAATTGAAAAGTTAAACAAGCTTTTATTAAGCAAAAGGTAAGTTTTTTATATTATATGTTTGAGTTCATCTTCATCTTTGACCCACATCCAAACCAAACAGAGGAACAGACTAGATGTAGAGAACAGCCTGGGATCAGCTGTTTTTTTTCACACTGAGCTATGAGCTCATCAAAGCAGCTCAGGTGTCTTGATGAAAACAAAGTTAAACTAATTAAGTCAGTTTGACTATAATTTTTGTTCTATATTTTGTTCCCAATGAATCAAGTTTAAATGTGATTATGAGGTAATTACTCAGAGGAGCTCCAGTTTTATTTATTAATAAAAATTAATTTTATTTTGTATAAATTACAATTCCTCACTAACTTCCAGACAACATATTTATGCATTTTTTTTAGTTGAGAAAATGCCTAAAAATTAAATGCTCAAGTTAAAATATTGAGTAAAATAGTTTTTATTTTATTATTTCATTGCATGTTCCAGTTTTGGACAATCATCAATACTTCTGACTGAGGGGATAGTCATGGTACGAAAAAGGGGTACACAACTCAAAAAAGGTTATAAAACACTGGTCTGGTGGACCATAATCGAAAATTTTATTTAGAATTTAAAGTATTTTGACTACCATAATGAAGTCAATGTGCCATTAAAAGTGAGATTTCTAAGTAGAGTCTAAAAACAATTTGCTGCATTTGACGTCCTTTGGGTGCATCATTAGTAGGTGCTGTGGGTGTTTTATACTAAGGTCCTTTGCCAACAGACTGCTTCTGAATGATGGTGAAATTAATGGAATTTGTTTCCTCAGAGGGACTGAGATACCACCACTGTTCCAGTGGTCTGCAGGAGCAGACAGCTCAGTACACAGGAGATGCCGCATGCACTTGCATGGCTAATTGGGAACTTTGCTGGAGATCAATATGATTGCTGGAGAAATTGTAAATAAAGGACAGAATATACATGTTTCTTATTGCTTACCACACAAGATTTTTGTAAGGTGATCTGTTTACAAGCTCTAAAAACAGATCAATGTGCAAAATCTCTTAGAATGACACTTGTGGTTCAGATGCTGCTGTACTAAACTATTAACGGCTAAAGCAAGTGCGCTTGTGCTCTGAGAAGGTTGCCATTACCCGGTTCGATCTCCACAGCCTGCACTCTCGGTCCGTGAGCAAGACCCTTAACCTCACAATGCTCCCCGGGCCCGACACAATGGCAGCCCAATGCTCCCCAAGGGGATGGGTTAAATGCACAGAGTGAATTTTGTTGCTTTGTACTTGACAATTAAATGACAATAAAGTTTAATTCTATTATATTCTAAATGAAGAAATCACCCAAGGGAAACAGGTTTTTAAATGCTGCTGTTTGTTTTTGGTTCCGGTTGCCAAAAAGTAACACCTGATTGAGTTATAGTTTGTTATATATAACAAACTATTTATATATAGTAACTATATATAAATAGTTTGTTATATATAGTAGGATTTTATCTGTTCAATAAAATAGATAAATAAAATAACAGATGTCCATCAATAGGCCAAATTTGCTGCTACATTGGTATAAGTCAGAGTGACACAAATGGTTTCTGCATCACATTTTTAACAACCCTGTTCAACAGAAATCAGGAGCTAGACCTCCTTGGGGAAACGGAGGTAGTCTGTAGGAATAAAGTTCCATTTGGAAAAGCTCTCATTTTGTTTTTAATTTGAATGTCATTATCAGAACAAACCATCTGATGATGTCATTAAGTTGAGAGAGGGCACTCTGGAAAGATGGCACACCATCACTGGACAGACAAGTTGCTTCTAAGGGCACCTTTATAAATATAGATTAACCTGAGATGCCAGATTTTGGAGGTAGTACTAAGAGAGAACACGTCCATGAGCAGAAAAAAAAAAAAATGCAAGTGTCATGCAGGACACCTGAATGGATTTCCAAACCAAGACCTTGAATGTTCCATGAGATGTGACACTGTTCTGTTATTTTCCTGTTGTTTCCATATCTTTTTTTGTACCTTAGCCTCTTGTCTTAAATGCAAATGACTTCATTATGCAAAAAGCCCTGCGTAAAACCTGAATGAAATGGAAAAGTGGCTTTGATTCTCCTTTGAGAAATATTCAGGTGCACACAAACAGAAACACACAGGCTATTGAATTAACATTCTGAAGGAGCTTAGATTACATCAAATATTCATACTCAGA